GTAAAAACAGAAAAGAATTAGGAAAGCCTCTCGTCTTATATTTACTTTCTAACATGAATTCATTTATAAGCAAACGAGAAACATCAATGCCTGATAGGCCCTACCAGTCAGGCTGATTGGTAATTATTTGAGGTTTGGAAGAAAATCAGAGCATGTTGTTTGGTTGGTTCGTCAAAGTGATTCACATTAAATGCCAAAATAGAATGGAAAAAACTTGAAATGTTTTCCTTCCTCATCCTCATCCTTCCTCTCCTTTCCTTATGTTTTCTCCTTCTCCTCCCTCTCATTCATCCTCATCTTTCTCATGCCGTATGGATAAGTTGCACATCTGTTAGGGCCTAACTACTAGAACCTATCTATTAGGGCTCAACTTGTAAGATTTATCTGTTAGGTCTTAACTACTAGGACTTACTTTTTAGGGCTCAACTAGTAGATCTCTTTGTTAGGGCTCGACTAGTAAGATCTATCTAACTACTAGGATCTCCCCGTTAGGATCTAACTACTAGGACATATCTGTTAAGGCCCAACTATTAGGATCTGTCATAGCATTGGAACTTGATTCTTATAGTATTATTATCACTTAATACGCATAAATATGTTAATTTTAATATAGCTAAAGAGGTCCCTATTAATAATAAAAATTTGAAAAAGTGATAATAAAGTAAAGGATGTTCAATTGAATCTAAAAGCTAAAAAAAAAGTTCTTTCTTTGTAAAGATTTGAAATTTTTTATAAGAGAGTATCAGTGATATGGGAAGAGAGATGTGACAAAAGACTGAGTTTATTGATAAAAAAAGAGTCAAATTGAATTTCATTCATGAAACTGTTATTTTAATCTGATCTCATTATCTATCTGCATTTTAAACTCAGTTAATGATGAAAGTTAAAAGGAAAAGAAATTGTTGGAAAATGATTGCATAGGAGAGGGGAACAAAGAGACGATATTTTAAATCAATCATCAAAGACTATTAGATAAAATTTTAATTTTCAGCAAGAAGTTTATCATTTAGATCACGTCAAGCATAAAATTTTTTCATTAAACTTTCTTGCTTCTCAAACATATAGGAAAGCTTCAACGAAAGAAAGTCAGAAATGGAAAATTTTATCGCATGAAGTAATAATCACATTAAATGGATCAATTTTTTTCTTTGCTTTTTTTTGCAATCTGACAACTAACATTTCCCGGTTTTTATATTCATTCTCGCAGAACACAATCAATAACTCACATAAAATAAAATTTAGAACTTAATTTTAATGAAAGATTTAGGAGTGACAAATGTATGTTTAGTTGACGATTAAAGATAACTATTATTTAACTTTCATCATTTTTGATGAGCAATCAATTAATTATTTTAATATCGTTCGTACATGGTAAAATTAGGACGGACTTTCAACAAATCTTTTAATTTTGTTTATTAAAATCAATCATGTCCTAAATCTTCGTACACTTATCTCGCTCATAGTAATAAAATCGGGATTGTTAAATTTTATAATTACTTTATAAGTCATTAAATCAAATGAACATTGTGCAACATAATTATGATATAATCATTATATTTTATTACTACAACTATCGCCAAATTTTTATTTCGACAATTTTCTACAGTTACAACGAATATATATACATACATTAAAATTTTGAACAATATTCCTTCATTATTGATACTATGCCCTGCACTCCCATTTTTCTTATTTAATATTGGAAAAAGGAAATTTTTTTAGTAAAGAAAAGTTTTTGATTGAGATAAAATTTTTGTGTAATTTAATTTAATTCCGTTACAAGTCAATAATTTCAATTATATCTTTATTTAATGAATGAAATTTTGTCAGGTGTGTATACTTTGATATTTTTCCGTTTTGTTCACGTAGTAAACAATTTTTCATTTTGTGTCATTCCTTTCCATATCAGCAGCAGTTATCGACGTCAGTAATTAATTAATTAATTGATATTGTGCAAAGTAAAGAAATGAACTTATTTGAAGAATGGAATTGAATGAAATGGGAAGGGGTGGAGGAGAAAAGATTTTTCTTCTTCATTTACCATTCAGACGTGTGGCATTTCAGATTATTCTGAAGCATAGATTGAATGATCCCAATGGATTTGTTATTTCTTAAGTTGTCTATTGAAATGCTGCAATGATTTCATGTGATCATTTGTGTATTAATAATAAATATCGCCGTTTTTCAAATGTCTTTCGAATAGTATCATTGATTTTTCACCTGTTTTTCAAATAGTATCATTTTATTTATCCTTTTTTAACGACAAAACTTAATGAAATGTATTACCCATTTTATACTTTATCACAGAAGACAGTTACCTTTTTTTTTTGAATGTTATTATTTATTCAATTACTTCTATGAAATGATTTTAAATTTGAAAAATTTATTGAATAAAATTAAAATTATAAATTGACTGCAATTTCCACAATTGGTCTGTTTGTAAAATTCAGCTTAAAATTTAATTTCTATTTTAGATCGCCTAATTAAATCCGATCAAAAATTTGTTAATTAAGCTATTTGTTTATACATGGAAATGCATTTTAGACTTACTTAAGACCTTATAATACAAATTTTCATTGGTAATCAATACTAACAGTATGGTCAAACTGCAATTATCATATTTTTATAAAATGTAGAAAAGAAGCTAATTAAACAATATTTCATTTGACTTCTTTTATTTTCGTGAATAAAATTAATAAGCTGACGCAAATTATCATAAATTAAAAAATTGCAAAAAAAAAGGTATTATTTCGTGCATTTGCTATTGAATTATGAACAAATCTACAAATTAATTATTGTAGCTGTTATCATTCATTATGCAAATATTTCATGTTATCATCTGACGTATGTAAAGTTCACGTTATCGAAGATCACGGAAATCTATTAATATCTTTCTTTCCATAAGCAATTTCCTTGCTGAGCGCATAACGCATAACAACATAAGTATGAATGAATTTTATTTTCGCAAATTGATGGCAGCCATCCGAAAACGATTTTTCATATTTTCAAAGTATAAATTAACCAAAATTTTTTTCATGTCTTCTTTTAAATTCTTGAATTTTTCCTCTTTTTTTATTTTTATTCAAAAAGTTTTAAGTTAAACACAAAAGTTCTTTGTTTAAGTTTAAAGTTCTGGTTATTTTTACATAAAATGAGTTCAGTGAACTTAGTTAAAAGTAATTGCATAGCAAAATCATACTGTTAAATAAAATTATGCAATAATGAAATTTTTGCATTAGTACAACCAGGAATCGGTTCCGTAAAAAGATTGGTAGTTCAATATATTACTTGTTTTTATAAATTCAAGAATTATTAAGTTATCAAGTTTTTTAAAGTTGATACTGCCGAAGTAGTGAAAAATAGGAAGAAATAGGAACTTACCATTAAAAATTATTGAATTCGAGTTTTTTAAAATTGATGTTTCTGTCTCAAATTGTCAGAAAGCACGATAATATGTGATATTTATTATTATTGTTATTCAAATTTATATTTTTTATATAATATACCTTTAAATTATACGTCTTCCATGCAATTACTTCAGGATTCTGCGTTTTTTTCTCGCAAATTAAACTCAATCATAAATTTCTTTTTCATTTTTTTTCTTGCCGGAATAGACATAGAAAATGTGAATTCATTTATCACATAAAAAACGATGGATGCATTTTGAAAGCTATCGTTAAGTTAAGCATTATGGACAAGATTTAAGTAACGGATTAAAATGAAAAGGATGAAATAAAGAAGGGCTTGAAATTTAGCATTTCCGAAATTTCAGTTTTTTTTTTGTCCATTCACTGTTCAAAATAAAAATGTTGATGATTTGAGACATAGAATGAGAAAAAAGTGGAAAACAACAAGATAAAAATAAAAATTTTGCTCTTAGTGACAATTTGAAGATATTTGTAGCACGACAATGATAATTATGACAAAGATTTGAAAAAAAAAATTATTGTTTTCATTTTTTCTTTTCCAAAAAAAGAAGAGGAGGGAGGAGAAAGAAGGAGAGAAAGAGAGAGGTAAATTAAATTTATAATTATCGACAGAAGAGAGCAATCTGCATAAATGATAAATTTCACAGATACTTTCTTTTTCTTTGTCATTTTAAACGAGCACAATGACAAGTGTAATAATGAATATGCAAAAATAAACAAGCAATAAAAGTATCCGCGCATAATTCACAATTGTTGTCCATAAAATGATTTGTTTACCTGAAATGATATTATCATTTTTAATTCCAAATATTTACAAATATATTTAAATAAAATTTGTAATTCAGCTGATGATTATGCAAATGGAAAGTAAAGTAAAGAAAGACTGTTATCAATTTTCTATTAAAATTTTGGCAAGAAATTTATCTAATAGTCAAAATATATAAAATTTTAAATTTTAGGAAAAATTTTTGCTATTATATTATGAAATTGTTGTTATTTAAATACTCTTATTGCTTTATTATCTGTGTTGTAAAAAAAAACAGACAAAATTATTGAAAAAAGACCTGCATTGGTAGAATTCTGTTCGCCGTTCCCGGTAGCATTATCAAGTAACTTAGCACGCCACCGTTTCGGGATGATACTTTTGACGTATAATACGTAAAGGTACCACCTTTTCACGGTATCTTCTCTTTTTAACAAATACCGCAACCATAGATGTAAAAATATTGCCACCATAGTGAGTACCAAATTAATTCCAATAAACCAAACTGGCAAAAGAATACGAAAAATAAGGTAGCGATTTAATTTTTCAATTTCAAATTTTAATTTTTGTTTTTTCAAACAAAATTTTTGCCTTTTAGAATCACTCAAAATAGGTTTTTAATGAAATAAAAAAAGATAGTCTAGGAATTGTTGAAACTTCAAGTTGTTGATAAAAAAAATATTCAAATCGGAAAGTATTAACTAACTAAATTGAAATTTAAATATTTATTCTTCTGATTTTATTTTCTTTTTTCAATGTCTATTCAATCTCTATTTTTTTTCTTTTTTTCTTAATGTATAATTTGAGAATTAAAAAAAAAAAACATTACCAATTTTGGGTAATTTTCCAATGGCTGGTGGAATCATTATTATGAGATCTTCGAGAAATACGCCGAGGAAGAATAAATTAGCAAGCAAAATGTAAATGGCGGAATCGGGCGCTGGTAGGAGAAATGAACAGATGACAAACATATATGATACCAATGTTGGTACCAATAATGTCAAGGTGAAGAAAGATGCATTCCGGTGTAAGGTCAACCATGCGTATAGGATAGACCTGAAATTGGAGTCATTTAAACGAAATAAAACTTTATGAAATAAAACTAAAAAACTGAAATAGAACTTTATGATTTACGACAAAATTGCACTTGAAATTTTTTTTTAACGGAAGAATTGAAAAATATCAAATTCTGATTTCAAAATTTGAACGCATTAAAAGAATTATTATAGAAATAAGCGCCTAATATTAGTAAAACTTAAATATTTAATATTAAAGATATTAAATTTAAAACTAAAATATAAATTTAAGACTTAAAAAATTGATATATGAATGTATCTATGCATCAATTGGTGCTAAATAATAACATAACATTCGTTTTAGATTAAAAATTAATCAGTAGTTAAATAAATCTAAATAAATTCCACGAATTAAGTTCTGATTTTTTTAATGTTTACGAACAGTTCTAGTTTCTTTGACAACGTTGAAAACTTAGATATGTTACTTAATAATAACAATAATGAGCCATTTTTGTTAATGAACAATTTTCTATTCAATGTGATCAAATTGTCAGTAAGCTATTAGAATTTAATTGAGATTTTAGCAAAATATATCAAATTTTATTCAACATTATGTTTTCCGTTAATTAATTTCCATACTGATTTCCGACTTTCTTGGTTTTAGGATATAAAATTTTGGAATATATTTTTTGGAACGAACCAGGAAGTATCCAATTCTTCAGGGTCAGTTGGCTTCTCCGCTTTATATTTACCGCCATTAAAATAACTAACATTCATTGTTACCGAATCGATCATCCAATCACTGATATGTTTTTTATTTGATTGACTTCCCCAACCTGAATAATAAAAATGTCAAAAAAGAAACTAAAAAAAATAAAACTATGAAAAGAAGTGATTACTGATGATTTTTTTATGAATAAATAAAATTAAAGTCTTTGTAAATTCTAAATATTCATTTTATCAATGAACTAATTAAATTAATGAAACAAACCAAGCAGTACTGTTGGTTGCATATTGTAATAAACAGAAAGTTGAACTTCACTCATCCGATTCGTTGTGTAAATTCCGAGGGCGCATATTTGTATATCGAACGGATATTCGGAATAATCAAACTTACAGCCAATTTTTATGGAAAATGTTGGATAAATTTCAATTCGACTCCACTAAAATTTCACTTTTTATATATATTTTAGTTTCTTTTTTTATCAACAAATTAAATGATTCATTTACACAACAATTAAAATACATTTACATCAAAAAACTTATTTACTTTTTATACTAATTTCTAACATTTATTTGCTAATACTGCTATTAAACGTCTTTTTACGCATTACAATATATATCCACAATAATTCACTTCATATAACGAATTTTAAAAATGCATAGTGTTCTCGTAACTTTGACATGCCATAAACCATGAAAACATGGAATGATGTATAATTAATTAAGCATAATTTCAATCTTCTGATCATTTTGAAAAGGAGTAAAATATAAGCTTTTAATTGTTTGAAAGAATTGAAAAACTGTAATCTTTTCAAGTATTGTTGACATACGGAAAAGCAGGCACTACTTTTCATGAAGAATTTTCTTTCTCGAAGATAAATAAGGCATGGAAATATAATGAAATCTCTCTGAAATTTAATAAAAATTTGAAAAAAACTTGCAGCTTTTCCATTGGAATGTATGATAACATGAGATCGTTTTGAAATTTCGAAAAATTGTCCCACACCAGACACACTAAATCATTTAGTTACTTTTGCTAGGATTTTAATTTAATAAAATCACCGCTTTTCACCATTTTTAAATTTTCGCAAATACTTACATACTTTCTTAACTTTTATTTTAAAATTCGAATATTTTTAGAAATGGAAGTTAGCAGTTTTATAACTTCTTTTTTAAACAATAGCAGAATCTCTGACCTATTTGTAATTCTCAATTCTGGGGTCCAAATCTCCCACTGCTTGACCATCGTTATGCGGACACCGTTGTGTTCATTTGGCTCCCAAACAGCGTATTCATCTTTCCATGTCTTCAGTTTCAAAATAATAGAAAAGATATATAATATGCTATAATTTGTATATTCAATGTTAAAACATAGCAATATTGATTGAGTGGTTGATTTTAATGTCAGAAAGAATGAACCGGCAATTTGGACAATAATCTATGCAACAAACCATATAAATATGTCCATGAAGTGTAATCGTCTGTTCTAACTGATTAACGGATACGTGCATAAAGTATATGTGAACGGCGACGTCTAACGGTTCTGATATATTCAGCACAGGTCGTGCACGTCTGTTGTATTTACTTAGGATGGTACGTTGTAATTCACTTTGTTCCTCAACATATGTCCGGTTAGCTATTTCTAAAATGATTAGTTATCAATTCAATGAGTTTCTTTATGATATCAGTTATCAATTATGGAATAATACTTTCTCATTCTCTTTGATAATTTGCCATTTTCAGTGTAAGCTGCTTAAATAAATTAATGTTAAGACTAAAAAAAATTTTCGAAAATGATAAAAACTTTTGTAGTGCTTATAAAATTTGAAAGAAATTCTCCATTTTCTAATTTTCTAACTTTGGTTAATTTTACAAATGATCTTTTGAATTTCAATTTTAACTGTCAATTTTCACCTGATAAACCTTACAATTCTTAATTTTCAATTAATGATTATCTACATTTATATTATAATCCATCTTCAGGAATTATTTTAACGCAAACTTTGATATACAATTCCTAAAAAAATTTATTTTTTCAAAATCTGTTAATTTTTGAAATATTGCTGAGTTTTAGCAATAAAATCTCAACATCGATTCGAAAAAAAAATCTCTCACCACCTAACAGATATGAGTTAAAGTTCAAATGATTTTTCTATCAACTCGAGTCTATCATTCTTATCATCCTAATCACCGAGTTATTGAATACAGTTCCGAAAAGAACGAAACATACCTTGAGCATTTTCCTCTTCCAATTCTTGCGTCGTAAGTTGTGATTGAATAAATGGTACAAATATAAGTAATACAATATAAACAATCATTTAAATGAATAGAATATAATTTAATATTCGAATCAAATAATAAGCAAAATAGAGAAAACGAAGTTTGATGCTGTTTTCGGTATGATACTGTATTGTACCGTATCAACAATAATTTAAATTATGAATGTTTTGTATGATAAATGTTGTAAAGAGCTGGAAGAAGGATGGATGGGTGGATCACATCTCTTCTACAGTTAGTATTGATTGAAAGGAAAAAGTGTGGTAATTTGATATGATGACGATGGCAATGATAATGACAGTGCAATGATAAGTCTCGACAGATTACTTTCCCAAATAAACAAAAACCATAATATATATTATTGTATTTCACATGAAAGATTGCAAAATAATTAAAGGGACTGATCAATTTATTTTATTGCAAAAATTATTTCAAATTGATAATTTGACAAAAAAGTAACAAACAGAAAAAAAAGTTTTATGAATTTCAAATTTTTTTCAATATGTTATTTCAACACTTTCAAATTATTCCAAATTTATTGTTTAGAGAAAAGTAATGAATTGAAAAAACTTTAAAATTTTGAAAATTTGAATCAAATTTTGATATATTTATAATTTTTTTTTTGTTCAACATAATATTGTAATACTTGAGATTTTTTTGCAATCACTATATATATGTACTGAACGAAAATAAAATACTGTAATTAAATTATCCCACACCAAAATTATCTCTCTTCATTCTTTCTTTAACAGCGTAGTGATAAACAATGATGTCTTCTTGGCTTACGTCACGATTATTGATTTGTTCGCTTGAAATAAAAAAATGAAACATTAAAATAATAATTCTTTATGAGATTTATAAGAATTTTGTTTGTCGAATTTTGTCATTTTAGCAAATCTCTTCAAATGTTATGAAAGCGTATCTCTGAGGATTATCATCATTGATTACTTTCACGTTATAAGTACTAAGCTTCCTATTTTAGAAAGCTTTCTTCTTCGTTGCAAGGTTTGCAAAATTACCAATTTGCTAAATGTTGTTATCAATGCTTTACGAACTACTTTAAACTAAAATGAAATTATTCGACATAACGAAATGATAATTCATTAATAAAAAATCGAAATAAAACGAAAAGAGGAAATAAATGAGTATTAATTACAATAATACAATTATGGTCACAACTATTTTAAAATTTATCTTAATCCGAAATGGTAAATTTCAAATTTCAAAAACTGTTATAGTTTTAAATTTTCCAATCTGAACCGAACATTAATTATTATCATGGTAAATTAATAAATTGCATCACAGTATTAAAAAACATGTAAACTGACAAACGCATGTGATAAATTAATTGATTTTTAACAACGATAGCCTGCAAAAGGCGTACATAAATTAATAAATTTATTATTGGAATAGAAAAGCCTTGCGAAATTCATCAAATTCTGCAAAAATAAAAAGCAATTGAATGGTTCAAAAGTTGAGGAATAGAAAAAGTGATGCCGCAAATTCTTTAAAAGTGACACCGTGACTCCAACTTCTTTTTTCAGCTTTCTCTTTTTTGTTCAATTTTTTAAATCAAATTTCATGTCTATTAACCTCTCACTTTTACATTTTGTGACTAATTATCCATAATTTAATGCTGTAATTATTTAAAATAAACCGAAACAAATTTTTTAAGACATTCTTAGATCATTTAATTATAAACAAAATTTTTCATTTCTGTATGTAAAATTTCAAATACTTTTTTTAATTTTTTTGGTAATTTTTGCTTTTAATTTTTTCGGTAGCAGCATTTTTTTAAAAAAGAGATCCTTTACTCATTCAGTACTAAACAGTTATTTATTAATAAATTCTTATTCTTATTTCTTCTGTAAATTTTATAAAAACCAATTGATTGTCATAGTATTTGTACCAAAAAAAAATGCCAAATATTCAAATAATTTAAGATTTCAATACCATTCAGCAATCTATAAAAATCTTACCATTTTGTACAAAAAAGTAAAATGAAATATTATTTTAATTACAATTCTAATAACATACTAGTTACATTTAATATTTACAAACACATATACATATATACGTGATGTAAGCCAAATTTTTTCATGTTAAATTTTATAGTAATTTTTCAATTAATGTATTCTACGCGTGTAAGAGACCAATATTAATATTCCCACATTAATTTAATTCTCTTTAGGAGAATCATGATCGAAAAATTAAGAAAAAGACTTCATATGTTGTTTTAATAAATTAGTTAATATTATCTCACCAGATTATCTGAGCTGAGAATTTAATTATTTTTAATTCAAAATTGCATTAATGAAATATATTAAATGATCAGACTTTTTAGCAAAAAAGTTTTTACTCTTATTTACTTTAGTGAACGAGACATCCAAGGCATGTTTTCTTACGAACACATCAATAATAGCAATAAAAAAAGCAACAAACATTACGAATTTCATTTTTTTTTCTTTCTTCAAATTATTGCATAATCTTTGGTTGAAAAGCTTAGAACAAAACATGCAACCAACTCGTTGTATTTCTCCCCAAGAAATGTCTGAAAAAAAGAAAACAAAAATAAGACATAATCTAATTTATGCAATTTCAATTTGAATGTGTGAAAAACGATAAATTTCAAAATTCTGAAAACAAGACTCCAAATGATTAAAATTAATTGTCCAACATTAAAATGCAATTTGATAATGTTTTGTCACAAATTGGAAATGAAACGAAGTTTTAAATTTAAAAAACGAAAGAAATCATTGTTGATAATATTGCTGAAATTACTTTAATTACTTTACGAATTACTTTAAGCAATAATTTCAAATTAAAATTAAATTCAACACAATAAAAATATAAAACATACAATTTCTTTTTTAGATAATCGAATTTTTCTGATAATACAATGTGGCATAAATTGAACAGAACATGGCAAATTTGATTCCTGAACATTATTCGATACGCAATTCAAATTTATTTCACTGCTATCACGGATCAGACCACCATAATGAAGTTCATAAACTGCATCAACATTACCGTGATATTGATTTTCCGCAATCTCTATACCACACAATTCATATTTGATGCATTTCTAAATATTATATAATTAAAAATTTCATAAAAGAAAAAAAAACTTCAATGATATCATAGAAATGAGTCAATTAAATCATAAGTAATGTATAACTAACTGTTACGTATGACATCTTACCGAAGGTTTTATCGGAAGAGCGCGGGACAGAAGAGTAAAAAATTTGAATATTGAAATTTTTTCAATTACATTCTAAATATGCCTATTTTGGTCCATGATGTTGCCGTAGAAGTGAGAAATGAAAACTGATATACTAATTTTGCAAGATTTCTCGAAAACAAACTATTGCTGTTAAATTTTATACCGTAATTAGTGATTGAATTTCAAATGCCATAATTAAATGACATTATAAGTATCACTGGTCATTACAAACTAAATATTAAATATGACAATTAACAAAAAAAATTTATTCTTCTCAAAATAAAAATTTTCACATTTATGTGTGTGTGTGTGTGTGTTTTTTTTTGCTCTTCGTAATTTTATTAAAAAATATATTGAATATTTTTTAATTAACTATAAAATTTTGAAAGTAATAATTACCGATTTGGTTGGAATAATTTTGGTGCATGGAATATCTAATGTATACAATGAATGTAATGCTATATCACTATCATTATTAAATTCCAAAATAGTATGCGATAATGGTGTCCGATGCTCCTTGAAGTAAAGAGCATTCTTGAAAATCATTTCTGGCGAAAATTTCAATTCCGATAAAGAATTTAGATGAAATTTTAGCGAATTTTGATAGTGCAATAATTTGGTGTCGACGGGAAGATTCGGAATTTTCCAATACACCTGTGACCAAATTGTCAACTCTAAACGACCACGGCTCAATGCTTCGAGAGCTCGCATATTTTCAAGCCGGAAAATTTTCAAAATTTCACATATTTAACTGTAATGTTTGTTGAATGAAAATAAATGCAAAATGATTTTTCGATATTTGAATTTGTGAGAGAAAAATTGCACTGTAAAGGCTTTTTTTTACACGCCGACATTATTGTTTAAGAGTAGTGAAAAAATTTGTTAGAATTCTTCAAAAGTTATTTTTTGATTTTTGATCTTTATTAAACATTATTTTTTATTAATTTTGAAAGTAAATATATCTGGAATGTTATATTGAAAGGTTTGTATGCAAATGATCTCAGCAAACTATTTATTGTATCAGTGGTAATCGGAGTTTTTAGTAATTCATTAAATTCCTACAAAATAAAATTTCAAATTATAAAATGAAACAAAAGAGTTTACCTTTCAAATAAAAAAGTAACTGAAAGAAAAAAATCGAATTTAAGCATTATTAGTAAGTAAATGTGTTCCTGATAAACGGTTTCACAGGACTTTCCAGACTCTCCATTCAAATCGTCTCATCTCAAAGGTCTAAACGATTTTCTGATTATGCATAAGTAATTAAAAAATATAATTTTAATTATTTGAAGAAAAAGCAATTGAGAAAAAAAATCCGAGAATTTACTTTTTGATAGTTATTATTTTATTTCTTGTAATGCATAACTATTCAATGAAATATTGTTTTCGTGTACAATATACTTCAGAAACAGGAAAACTGACAACAAACGTTAATACAATCAGACAAAATTTATTACAACAAAAATAGTTTTTTGAAAGAAAATTAATTTTTTTTAAATATTTAAAATTTAGAAATAAAATTAAATCGAAATCATGGAGAATTTAAAAAAAAAAAGCGAAAAATAATGTAAAAGTAATCTACCATGTCATACTTGAATTTAAAAAAAATGTTAAACGACAATGCAAAAGCAAGCGACGTACCACGTCAGCATCGTTGCCGGAACCATCAAACGTGAAGACAATACTTTGAACGACCAGAAATGAAAAAAAGTTCCGAGACATTTTTTTTCTTTGCTACACTTAAACAAATAGCGAGTTAGAAGTGAGAAAGAAATAGATTTTGTTCATTTGAAACATTTTTTTTCCCTTTCATCGATAATTTAAAGAATGGATGGATTGATGGATAAAGTAAGGGACGACAATCGGCGGAAGTTTAGTTTACACTAACCGAGTATTTCAGGACAACTTTTGTTGTTAAATTGAGAGTTTCTTTTTTTTTTTTTTATAAATATTGCTTAATGATTTTTACTTCACCATCTGTTCCTATTATAAATCAACTTCAGAGAGGAGGAAATTTTATTTTAAACTTCTTTTATATCAATTATTCATTAAAATTAAATTTTTTGTTAATATTAGACTGAATTTAGCCCAAAAATTTTTATCATTGAATTTAATTATGAGAATTTATTCTTGATGAAAAACGAAAAATTTGGATGAGAGAAACAAACAATAGATGGATAAATTAGAAATTGAATATCAATTTCTAATCATTTATCAGTTATTCTCGATTTCATTTCTTTTTAACTTTTGATATATGTGGTCAGAATTATAAATTCTATCCCAATAATTTCTTAAAAATTTAATTCTTTTTTTTCATTGATTATAAAAAGTATTTAAAAATTTCTCATTTTTCAATGTGGCAGTATTCTTGGAAGATGTATTGGTTGTGCGCGGGTAAGGTTCTTTCAGTTTTCTCGGTGTTTACTTTGAAATAATATTTTTGTCATAAAGTTAATTTGCTCACTCATTTTGAAATTTCAAAGGTTGTCAGAAAGATTATATTGTATGACAAATTACGCAATTTGTTTATTTTCTTGCGTGAAATTTTTAAAAAAAAGCACAAAAGTTATTTAATATTAAATTTATAAATAATCTGATTTTTTCCAAATCTTTCTCTAATTAATTATCTCATTTAATAGCAAATATTTGTTGATGGAAAACAATCAATTTGTTAATTTTTATTGACGAAAATGATGATATCTTAAATTACTGAGCTCGAAAACAATTGAAATTACATTCTTCGAGTAAGATAAAAAATAAAAAACTAAATTAAAATGTAAACTGTTTGTTGAAGTGATTGCGAAATCAGTATGAAAGAAGAGTCAGACAATGCATCATCAATCTTACGGCCAGGTCAAACTTTTGCCCATCGAGGCAGAAAATATAAAATATTAACGCAAATTTGGCTTGGGCCATTTAGTGAAGTGGTGATTGTTGAAGATGTTGACGGTAATGGACGATTTGCAATGAAAATTGAAAAAACGAAAGATCCACAAAGGTATTTATAGCAATTTATTTTGATAAAAAAAATGATTTAAAAAATAAACAAAAACAAAAATTGATAGAACAAAATTGCAAATGCAAAGTAAAATGATGAAAGGGGAAGAAAAGAAAAAATTTGCATTTGATAATTTTAATCAAAATGCAGCAAGCAGAAAAATTAAGATAAATACAATTATTTAAGAAGAAATTAATCATTTACTGTGGAAATCTAACCGTTTCATGCAGTAAATAGGAAAGCTAAATCATTGTTACAATACTATACAAAATTCAAAGTTCAAGCTGGATAATGCAAATAATATTACTAATTGATACTGAATTTATTAATAAATAAGTATAAGAGTTAAATTTTTGCAATATCGAGTAAATAATTAGTTATTGGTAATGTAGCATAAATTAATATTGAAGCAAATTTTTGATTCTTTTCAGATCAGTGCTAAAATTGGATGTTTTTGTATTACGTGATTTTCAAAGGACGAAAACGGTTGGTATTCCACAATTAATTACTCAGGGGCGTACAAATGATATTAAATATGTGATCATGCAACTTCTCGGTCCGGATTTGGATAAATTACGTCGCTCTTTACCGGGCAAAAAGTAATAGTTTCTTTTCAAGAAAAATATAGTTTTGTTTGAAAAATCGAAAACTGCAATTAAAATATAAAATTTAAATGAAATTTAGATTTACTTTAACAACAGCACTTCGCCTTAGCGTGCAAACATTGGATCGAATTGAAACATTACACAATATGGGTTGGCTTTCACGTGATATTAAAGCAAACAACTTTGCGATTGGTTTGAAAGATGACAATCAAACAGTTTACATTCTCGATTTTGGATTCGCTCGACGGTTCAGGTAGGTGTTATAGGAAAAGTGAATGGGGGTCAAGTATGACGTAGATTTGTTCTTAACATGTAAAGTATAGCAAATATTTCATACTTCTTAAACTATTTCCTTAGCAGAATGTTGTCATTTAAGCAAGTGCGATTCATTTCAATTAAGTTAAATTAATTCAGCATCATTCAATTAATTTAACATTAATTGAATAAAAAAGAGTGTTAGAAAATCTTGTAAGATTTGATAATTATAGTAGTAATTAGGTAAATTAATAGTTTATGAAGTATAATTAAAGAGACAAAAATGGTAAATTTTATCAACCACGAAGTTCCGCCGCTCTCGTAGGATCCATTTATTATTCATCGTTAGCAGCTCATGCATTTAAGGATCAGTGTAGAAGGGATGATATTGAATCGTGGTTTTATATGGTTTGTGAGTTCATCAAAGGTAAAGCAATATTTCATTATCACTCATTCTTGTCTTTCATTTAAGTGAACGTAGTAATCATTCTTTTTTTCTAACAAAATATACTAAAAGTGTACGCTTACTGTTCCATAGTTGGACTATTTTCCTATTAAGTTCACGTAAGTGTCCAAATGAACTTATCTAATTAACGTATTCTTGTAACGCTTTATCACTCATCTTCTTGATGTATCCATTTCACGCATTGATTATTTATCCTTTTTGTAATTTAATTGCATCGGAATTAAATATTTTACTTATCAGTTTTATCACTTTGCAGTAACAATTGAAACATATCTTTCATTTCATATCAATGCATTAAAAGTGTAGTGATGAAACTTGCAAGATTACTATCATGTAATACTGATAATTTTAATTTCTTAAAAAATTATTTAGGTCCACTTCCATGGGCAAATGCAGATGTCCGAGAAGATTATTTGTTAATTGGTGAGTGGAAGCGTTATGCAAGATTAAATGGACGGTATGAGTTACTTAAAGGAATGCCGGAAGAATTTGACAAAATACTGGAAATGATCGATAATACAAAGTAAATTTAAAATTCGCTTTATCTGATTAATCAGAAAGAAAGAAGATAATTATTAGAAATTGTTTATCGATAATTAAATTATCTATTAATTATTACTATTTCGTATTATTCGGACAATGGATGTCATAGCACAATGAAAAACATTGATGATAAAGGGCTATAAATTGATGAAACTGGAAATTGTATTAATTAATCAATAAAAATTAAGTATAGACAATTAAAAAGCAAAAAATGATATCTCCTTTTTCGATCTGCGAAGTATTGCAATTTCAATTTTCTCATTTGTGATTACTAATACTGAATTTGCAGATATTTTGAACGACCAGATTATCGAACATTTCGCAGATTGATTAATAATATTTTTATCAGATTAGAAGTAAACATTTAATCAACAAAACAACTTACTTTATCACTTATTCATCAAACTTGAATTTATTACTTGAAAATTCATTTATTAAGATAAAAATTTAAGTATTTTTTTGTCATTTCTCATATATATTGAATTGTTTTTCTATTTCATCTGATATTGCATTCTTCGGATTGCTTTTATGGTGGTAATGTAAGCTCCGATCGAATTTATTCTTTCAAATAAAATAATAATATGAAAGTATATAAGAAATTTGATGTTAATTTTCTTAATTTTATCTTATTTATTTTTTCAAATTATTTCAAGTCTTATATTTTTCAGCTTAATCAAAATGCACCATTTGAATGGCAAACAAATCCAACTATTATTCAAAAAGCATTAGTGATCGGTGATCAAGGCCAATCATGCTTTATTAGCTATCGGTTACGAGAACTAACCAAACAACCAGATCTGATAATTTTTCGAACATAAATTATATCGTATCATATACAATATCAATAATCTATACTTATCCTATTAAATTATTCTCATCATTATTTAAACTTATAAATCTATTACTTTCATTTCCCCTTTACAATGTGTTAATTCAGTCGTAACATTTTTTAATTTTATTTGCTACTGGAAAGTTTTTTTTTTTTCAGATATGTAAAATTGTAATAAACATAAAAGACGCGAAAAATTTTCAATTTTTTATATTATTCATATTTATCTGAACTCTTTATGTTTCACCTCATTTCTTTCTCTCTTTTCGAGAATTACAATAAAATCGCTATCAACCATTTTTTACAATTATCAATGCTAAATGTTTAATTTAAATATTTCTATTTTTCATTTTCTAATTTCATTGATTATTTTTCCTTTTTTGCTTTCTTTTCATTTCTTTGAAATTTCTTATGAGGGTATTATAAAATTAAATTTGTAATTGTAATAGCCATACGAAGCAATATTAATTAATTATTGCCAGCAATTTTTTTACACTTCTCATTGGCTTTTTTGATATTATTGGAGCAAATTATTATATTCTTTAGAAGCAAACAATAAATGAAGATAACAAATTTTTTTAAAATGTAACTTCAGCATTTCATAAAATAGCTAATGAAATGTTTAAATTACATTTTGCAATATAAAAGAAGTTTCAAATTCTAATATAATAATCCTGCTAGATTATCATATCTGATAAATCAGTGTGACTTCAAATTGATCAATTTTTTCATAAATTAATTACGAATTATGATTTCATTTATACGAAGCATCAAAATATAATTTGCTGATTCTACCACACTATTACTAGTGCAATATGGTTTTGTGATGTACTATTAGCATATTTGACTTAAATCAAATTAAAGTAAGCACAATTTACATTTTTATTTGTACCCTTTCCTTCCATAAAGATACCAATCAAACAATTATGAAAAAATTTTTAAATCGAAATCGCAGATGGCTTATATTTTTAAATGAATTACACTATTTTACAACAGCATAAAAATATGAGAGAAGATAGAAGACAAATATTAAGAGCCAATCAATGTTGGAAACAATAAGTGATGGTTATCATATTATCAGTCACTGATAGAGCAATTGACTAGCTGGTCTGATTTGGCGTTCCTCAGTATGCTGTTCAGTTCTTCCAATAATGGCAACTTTATACAAATTGCTTCCTTCAAGTACGGTTCGAGAGTTAAGGGTATATCTAAAAGTATACTAAGAATATCGCATTTGACCGCTACATTTTTCGCCAACCAATTAATATTATTTGAGAAATTTTATAAATTAATCAATTTATTCTCATTATCTTTTTCATCCATATAATCCTATTTATGTTTTGGGAGAGTTGAAAAAAAAAAAAAAAGATTCGTTGGTAGTCTCGAATTCAAGCCAATTCTCTAAGTAGATTTGAGCAAATGATTTAAAGGTATGAATACCTGCAATGAGAGATGGGTGAATTGACAAGATTTGTAAGATACTGGACGGTGGTTGTTCTCGAGTGACCAATATTTATCATTCATCTCTTATTTCTTTTACTACCAGAATGGGTTCTTATTGAATATATCGGAAGTTGTTGCACTGAATCAGAAATTTTTCTATTCATTTCAATCAATCGCTCAACCTTTTCATGCATATATTTTGGAAAAATAGAACAAAAAATTCGCGGTCCAGCGCGCTAGCCTCGAGTTCAAGCAACCATTGAGTATATTTTACATGTATTCACCATACCCGTATATGAGAGACAAACCGGACTAGAGCCAATATACTCAACAGTTCTTTTATCGAGTCACACCAAATCAGACCAGCACATTCTTGTCTTCCACAATCTCAGTAAATACACCATGCATATCTTATTTCTTCCAATACTAAATGGATTGTTGTTATTCTTTCTGATCTTCCAATTCATCTTTCTTTTTATCACTCCCAAAGTGCTCATATCTTTTGACCTATGAACTTCGATTGATAACCGAAAGTTTGTAGTTCATTGTACTGAAATGAGATTGAGTTAAAAAAAAAATTCAAAGAAACATAATGACCAAATTAATGATTCACCATAAGATGCAAGATTTTTCCTCTAATTTCTTAGTCTGAATCTCTAATTTTATTGATGTTATAAAACTACCACCAATCTCATGCAGTGATATTTGTTTCTCGCTTTATTTCATCTAAGAATTACTGCTCTTTGGAAAAAATTTTAGCAACTTTCATTAGCTGACGAATAAAAATGATACTCCTTTCGTTTTATAAATTGTTTTTTTCATCGAAATTCTAACCTTTTTCGTTTCAAGTAGCTGCTTATTTTCATGTAATACAATATCATAACATGGGAAACTTTATTTTTTTTTCCATTTATAATATATACATGCAAATATATTTTGTCACGTTCAAATTATAAAAATCCCCGATAAGCGATAATTTAATTTCGACAATTTAAGAAATATTCCAAAGGTTTCGATTTTAAGGTTTCAATTTTTTCCACTGGTATAATTGCGCCTTCCCAGGCCGATCACTTTTTTCCCTCTTTTCACAAGAAACGAAGTTTATATCAAAAAAGTATCTTCTCGTTCAATTCCGAAACGAACTGACTTGCAACAATATAATTAGCATTTATCATGCGGATGTTAATACCACGTCGTCTACACGCGCCGCTAAACCATTTATCATTTCTTTGGTTATTTTACGAGCTAACCTGAAAAAAGCTAATAAATTTATCTTCTAAAATACAAAAATTAAATTTAAAAAATTAAAAATTTTGGACTTGAAATAATAATGTCATACTTCTTACTATGCAGTAACTATGTTGTACTGAATTAATAGGGAAATATATAAACTTCGTTTAGTAATATTGCCTGGATCTCATATACAGTTGGAGGATTTAGAAATGCTGAATTAAATCGTTTGAAAAGTAGAGTAAAGAGGTGCTGATACTAACAAAAGAGGAGCAACAGCCGTTTTTTTTTTTTGCTTTCCTCTCAATTTTCTAATCTGTCTCTAATATATTTTTTATTTGATTCTTGTCGTTCTATTTCCGTCGATAAGCATCCGAGTAAAGTGTTCTAAACCTCCATAATGTAATATTATTTGCAGCATAACGCAAAAAATAATTTAAAAAAAATAATGCACCGATGAACCATTTCTTTTTGAATGGTTTTTTGAGGTGTGTATTTCGAAAATCTCTGACTTGAAGGTGAAAATGACGTTGTAGCTCGACGTAACTGCATCAATCGACGTTTTTCCTAAATAGATAAGGCACTGAAAATTAACTAATGAATTATCATATGATTTATAATCATGCCATTCAGTTATGCTGTGGCAGAAACTTTCCGTTGGTATAATTATATTATGATATTTTTTAGGTGACAAATATAAATGGAATGCTATAATACTGAAACAGTTTAGAAAAAAATTAAGATATAACTTTTCAGACAACTTTTATATCGCGTGAGTCTCACTTTGATGAATGACTTACGCGAAGGTCATGAGGTAACAAATATCCTGGGCTACGTAACGATTTTTCAACTTCATGGAAGGTTGCTGCAGATTTTGGTCTACCTGAAGTGCGTCGTAATGAATTACTTCCAGCAATTTTCCGTTTCACTACTCTTTTCTGTTTGATTCTTGATGCGATCATCTATAAAAAAAGGATTAAAAACGCATGGATAGTTGTAAAGTTAAAAATTCTAACCATTGGAATTAAGGTAAATCACATGAAACATAACAAATTGAAATGTGCTGATTTAAAGTCAAAATATTCTGTTATTTCTTGCCCTTCCCATTTTTTCCTCTCGATTCTCGTAGAAGTCACTAAGCTACCGAAATTTGAAGGAAGCAATATGATTAAGGATATATTAAGTAGATTATGAATAACTTCAAATTACTGTTGTTTTAAATGGGCGATGAATGATGGATGGAACTAATAATAATATGTACTCTCTAGTGATCAGTGAAAAATAAACAAATTGAAGTATTAAGAACTGTCAAATCTACAAAAGCAAAGAAGACCTCATTTAGACGTCGTACAACAACATCATGAAATATATTGATAGCTTTTTGAAGTTCTTCAAATTTTGATGTGAAATTCTTTTCATGTATAGAGCAAAATTCTTCGAAACGGTATAATAAGTCGCACAGGCAGCTAGCGAAAAATGCACAATTAGCAATTTGAAATGGGCTAAAACATTTCAAAATTCCATTTTCAGGAAAAATTTCGATTAATTGATTCATCCTGATCAACACAACATCATTAATAACAAGTAGATTTTTAAAATTGCTTCTAACAGTGAAACTGATTAGAATTTTCCGTCTTCATCTTCATCATCATCATCAATCGTATTTTTCTCTTATGCAAAGCATAATTTTTTAAACGATATATTTGTCTTGCGGTCCACTGAAACTGCCTTGTTCTACGTAGTACGTCAATTATTACCGATAATCCTAATGCAAAAATGTAACTGTTGATTACTAATTTTACTCTTTATCAAAAGTCTAGAAATAACAACACTGTAATACGATGAAAATAAAAAGTAATTAATGAAATATTAAGTGGAGAAAAAGTTTTTATAAATGACCAACGTTGAAATTCTGGCAGCAAAACAACGCAGCAGTGTGTAAAGACGTCTAATAAATTGTTCGAAACGTAGTAACTGAAAGTGATCCGAATTCAGGAATTGTTCCAGTTGCAATCGAACAGAAAATAATGAGGCAGCATCACGATTTATATTAGCACTAATATCACAGAATGCAAGATTTGCTAAAACATAACGACGGTAATCCTTTATGGAAGCGTCATTCACTTCATATTTCCCAATTAAATGCATTTCCTCCTTATTTGATTTTTGTTTAATTTGTTCATCAAAAAAAAAAAACATTTGGTGATTAACAAATGGATGGTATTTAGAAAGGATAATTTCGGAACAGTCGCATGCATATCTACGGCTGAACAAAGTACTTACTGAAGCACAGCACTTTTTTGTTTCTACATTTTTTAATCTTGTAATTTTTTGTATGAGCAGAAATAAATAACCGTGAAAAAATTTCAGTGCTAATCATTAAAGCATAGCTTTTGAAGCTTTAAATATAACAGCTAATCATTATTATTGTATAACTGGTAACATCGATGTTTACTTACAGCTTTTAATGAACGATTCCACGATAAGTTTCAGGTGGCATATTAATAAATCAATATTCCCGTGAATAACTGAGCGTCGACAACTTGTTGCTGATTCAAATTCCAAATTTTGTATGACAAACTGTTGCCCATAAGTAGTAGTATCAGCTGATCCTGCATTATTTAACACTTCCCTTACCGTGCTATCAACAAGGTATTTCTCGAAGGAACGTTTAGTCAGTAGTTTCTTGAGAATTTGTTGCGCAATAATTTCACATTTCAATTGAGATGATGGATGTTTCATCTGAGATGGCGAACGTTTACTCGGATCATCTCTCATATCTGCAATTGGAATATTCTCATCATGCTTAATTATATAATTAATTTTACCATTAATTATAAATTTCCTAATAACTGATATTCTAATTCTACCGCGAATCTTCTCATATACATATCTGATAATGGAAATGATAAATTTTGTTGTGCGCAATCAAAAATATTCACAATGAACAAACTTACAATATTGTATTTTATATCCTATAATGACCAAAGTTACAAGTATTCCTAACGTGCAAATAATTACTTCCGGTGAACTAAAGGGAAAAAGAAATCAACTTTATGTATTATACGCATAATTATTTAATTCAAATTCGTAAACAAAGAAATTTCATGTTTCTTTTATATTGTATTACTATTTTATATAAAGTAAGGAAAAAACACAGTTTCATACGGTCATTGATGTGAAAGCTTTAATCAAAATTTAGTCAAAGAACAAAGAGATGAGTAAATGAAGGAAGAAACAGACGAATAATAAACAAATAAATAAACAATAAATCGCTTTTTCGTTTCCGATATTTCCATCAAGAAATTGATATCCACGCAATATTTAGCGTAATTTCCATAGCTAACACTGCCTGAAATATGCCAACAGTTCCATTGCTTGATGAATTACAAATGATCAATGAAGTCATTGATGAAATTTCGATTTGACTCGTCGTTTATTGATTATTCAAAATAAAATCACAGATTTAAATAATCTCTCATTTCGATATTTCAATTATTCGCTGAAATTGAAAAAAGTCAACAATTAAATCTAATCAATTTTCATTTCCTAACTAGACATACCCAAACAGATATACGCGATAAATTCTACAATATTGCATACAATCAATTTTTAATATCAATTTAATTTGCATATCCAACAATTAAAATCTAATATTTCATATTAGTTCATCAAATCGAATATCATTAAAGGAATTTTAAATTTACAATTTCTTAAGAAAATTTTTTTTTCATAATTTTTAAAGGAAATTTTATTTTTTAAAGTTTAATGTGTTAACAAAGACGATAGAAAAATCGCTATAATATGTAAAAAGTGGAATTTAAAACAGACGAGAAATATCAGGAGAATGAAAGATGAAAGGTCACAAGTGACCCTAATGACATCACGAACGATGGCCATCATCTGTTCCGAGTGGATATTCATTTTTCTTCTCGCCACTCACTTCACATGACTTCCCCTTTCTCTCTTCTCCCTCCTTCTCCCCTCTCTCTCATCACACTCTGTCTTCTTTCGTGATATCAATTTATCATTTCTTTTTCTCTGTTTCCTCGAGTCTCTCATTTATTTCATTGCTGCTGTTTTTCAAGCGCTGTGTGTGTGTGTGTGTGTCTCTTAATCTTTAATGATAATTTTTGATGAAATACTCAAAGAATGTGTACCGATTTTGTTAATGTAATACTGTTATTAATGAAAATTTGGCTGCTGTTGATGCTTCAATTTCTGCTAAACAAATAATCCGGAAAATTTTTTAGTTTCGAAATTTTGAACTTTAAAAATTTTTTTCAATTCCAAAACATTGACTTTTGTATTTTTCGACTGATCTATATTTGTTCCATTTTACTGAAGGACTGCAGGATTTCGATTTTTGAATTAATTTCTCGTCCGAGAGAGAAGAGAGATGAACAAAAAGAGATAGAGAGAGAAACCTTATATTAAGTTAGGCAATTTTTTCTCAGATTCGTTAAATCATGTCATTTCAAAAGCAATGAGTAATAACTTTTTTTAATTAAAGCGTAACTTTCAAGAACATTTCGGGATTATTTCATTACTTTTAAGTTTAGATGTCAAATGGTACGAAAGCAAAAATAGCCCGGATGGCTTTTGTATTTGTCTATGGAACGCTGAAACGTGGCGAGCCGAATGCATCAATTATGGCAGATCTGATAACCGGAATGCAAAGATTCATAGGAACGGGTAAAACTGTCAATGCATATCCTCTGATTATTGCTTCTGAATATAATATACCGTTTTGTTTGAACAAACCTGGAATTGGTAATGTAAGTTTCACTAACTGGTTGTTATTACCTGAATAGGGGAAGGTGAATTGAAGTGGATCAGTTTTAGGGAGAGAAAAATTTGGTGAAGATGGAAATAAATTAAATTTGTAGAATGGAACAGTACAGACGGAGTTGTAGTAATAGAGACCAACCACAGTATAGAATTGTATAGTACTGGTCAATACTCCCTAAATTTGTTTCAGATCCCACGCCCTGGCTCTATTTTCTAGGTTTATCTTCAATACTTTCTAGATTTTCCAAGCTTATTTCTAGGGGTTGTCCGATAAGTTGCAAAAGAAGACGTATTGCAGCGTATAAATGGTGAATTGTATGAAGTTGATGAGCAAAAATTGGAGGTACTTGATGAATTCGAAGGACATCCAACTTTCTACCGCAGACAGCTAGAAGAAGTTCTCTTTCTCCATTTAACTTCACGTATCTTTTGGATTTCTTCTCATATATAACAATTCCCGCAAAAGTATGATAAATAATCAGGTTGAAATGGATCATAGTGGTACCGTTGTAACAGCATGGATATATATGTTATCCAAATGGACGCCAAATTTACTTCAAAGCTCTACTGAGTATTTGGAAATGTACAATTCTAATGGATCTCACAATCGGCCATACATTAAAAGGTTTAGAGTTTACGAAACGTTAAGCTGAAGAAAATTTTTTTTTGAAAAATTATTTGAATTTCGCAGTGAAAAATTTTAAAAAACAGAAAAATCTTGGAACTGGTAAAATTTTCACGAGATTTTTCAAATCTTCATGGACCTTCCTGAAATATATCGCAGAACAGATAGTATTGGTTGGTTTTAGTAGTTCCATTCGGCGATTACGAATGGAACTACTGAAACCAATCAGTACTGTCTATTCTGCGATATATTCCAGAAAGGCCCGTGGAAATTGGTATTAATTCAATACAAAACTGATAGGACATTAAAACTAGAAAGTGTATGATCTGGAATTTCCTAACAGTTTCATGCAAATTATTAGAAATGACGGAAAAGAAGAAATTCATCTTTATATCCCATCACCTTTAAATTTTGTATATTTATTAATAATTTGTCCCGAAGTCTAAATACCCAAATCTAAAGTTATTATCTTTCAGGCCTTATACTTAATTCCCAAAAGTTAGGAATCTACCTTTATGAGCCTTCCGGTGTTATTTATAAGTTATTATCAAATTATTATCAAGTTATCAATTATTGAATCAGGAGTATTAAGTTACTGTTTAAGTTTAGATCAACGTTTATTTTTTGTTTGTTCCAAAAGAGAAGAAAACTCTTTGAGTTTTGAAGACTTTTATGGATAAAAAATTTACATATTTTAATATCAATTAATATTAATTAAATCCTTTTTCAGCGAAAATTGCCAATGTTTGGATGATTTGTGAGCCATATGTAGCCACTGTGATAAATTTTTATGCACGTACTTGCAATTTGTGCTTGAAATAAAATAACAGAATTAGAGAGTTATAAAACTAATTTAGTGTGCACATCTTAAGCATTCCTACATCAGAATTATGTATAAAAAAAGTTATAAAGGTGAGCCAAAAGAATATCGAGCAATACGAAGATTACCAGCAATACCAACGCTATAGAAGTCATAATTACACAAACAAATGGAAAATTTCAAAAATGAAGCAATATAATTAGATTCCCATGCATTCAGCTAGAACCATTATCGCGTCTGTTGAGATTAATTTTCCCACAACTAGTTTTTTCACGTAAAATGCTGTTTTTGCAGAAGCCAATTCTATTAACATAATTCTTTAATTGTGTTGAAGGTTGATTGAATAATCTGCTTGTTCACTTGACAAACGAAAATACTTCATCGGGAAGAATGTGACTCGGTTAATATCTATTTTCTTTCGAAAATAGATGTCGACAGCAGCAACTATTTCCTTCCAGAAGATATGAGGTTATCGATTAAATTTTGGGAAAGGATTTCAAGCATTGTTCGATGACAAATCTGTCTCAGCAGAAATTGATGCTTTATCGGTGGAATGCTTATTTCCTTCATTAAGTAACGTTTCAACGATAATTTTTTCCTTCTCGGTCATATTTGGAATTGTCGAAGCATTTGCCTGACTTAAGTGCATTAGTTTTGCTTTACTTCGAATAATTTCCGGCAATACTGCGATTTCATCATAAGTAACTTTCATTGCAACACCCTCCGGTATGTTCCGTTGAATATATTCCAGAAATGTACTCGCTGTACTACCCGTAACATTTCCGATTGTAAATTGGCGAATATGTGTTCTTGTCTCGTAATGAAGTTGATTTTTCTTTTTTGCAAATTTAGCTCTCAGAGCATTTTGAATCCACCATACATATGGAAACACTTTTATGGAAACTACTTCAAGTTCTAGGTGGCTGCAAACTGCCTGAAAAAGCCTTTTTATAAAATCATATCTTCGTCATTATAAACTTCTAATACCACTTATCAAAAAATTTGTGATTTTCATTAAATAGTTATTTGTACACTTGAATATTACCTTCAGAAATGTGGTATACGACTTCAACACCGCCTTGTCATGGCCTCTGTACTCCAACTCAATACGCGAAAATAATCGATCCAATTCAGCAGCTGAATCCTCTTTAAAAGATGGTCTGAAATTCAAATACCTAAGAAATTTGAGGTTATAGAACATGGAAAATATGCTTCGAAATAAAACAATTCATTTAGCATATTTGAACATAATATGTATTCCATGCACAGCGTAAGGGCTCATCACTTGCAGATCGAAAAAATTCACAGATAAATGGAACTCACGTCAATGGCGCAGCTACACGTGAGCAAGGATGCATTAAAGCGCTGCCAACGGATGAATAATGCGCACCCAAGAAATTTCGAATAATAGACGCACGTCCAAACATTTTCATATGTAGTCAGTGACATTTATATGCTCACCATTCTGTTGCCATGTTATTCTGTATAAATCAACGACAACTACAACAGAAGAGACCTGAAAAGCCTTCAGGATCCCCCATACAGCCATATTACGCCAACATGGGCCTTCCATGTCTCAGATTTCTTTGCATAGCCAAATTAGTTACTTTCAACAAGCCGAGAAAAGAGGCCACCACAGTACCGAAACATTACATCAATTTAATGTCATAATGTCCTGTAGCTGTCTCAAATTAAATCATATCGACATTCTGAACATATCAAAACGCCTTGTTCCACTTAAAACACATCCTCTGCATCCGTTTCCGTCTATTAGATTTTTTTAATATTCCGAGAATTTACCTTCATTCCTACACTTGCATTCCTACACTCCATCCTAATCTTCAGTCATTTTACTAAAGCTACCATATCATCATTGCTTGACCTTTAATGTGTGCACAAAAACATTATGATTCTTAATTTCGACAAATCCGCTATAATTCACTGAATGCTAATATAATAGAAAATATCATTTGCAGAAAAAACCCAGTCAGCAATGAAACCAATCAGACCAACAAAATAAAGGAAATAACAATATTTGTTGCTTTAAGTACATTACGTACAAGCAAATTCTATTTCAATCAAGATAAAACGATTCCTTGCGAAAAGGCAAAAAACAAAAACCAGCAAAACTGTAATATAACAAGCCTCATTTCACTTCTCGAAAAAAAATCTGACACAAAATGAAATTGCAAGGGAAAAAACTTTAGGTTAAGTTTTGTGGAAAATAAACTATTAAGCTGCTCATAACATGCAGGTTTATTATTAGGAAAGTACTACTTCAATTTCCTTAAAATCTCACTCAAATGATAGGAACACTTCACATTTTTACTACAAAACAATAATGCAGTCAAATAGTAGAACAAGCGACATCTGATGATACATTTCTCGACAGCCGCTATAAACAGTGTTCAACATGCAACTGCATCACTACAATCGTTGAATAATCAGGCAATTCCGGATATTTTACTACTATATAGAATTTGGGAACTTCGCCAGAAAATTGGAATTAATTGCAAAAATTAGGTAAACAGGAAGATTATCAGAACAGATTTTTAAAAATCCGATCATTTAAAATAAAATAAAAATATAAATCTTATGTAGTCAAACTTAAGTTAGAACTCGATAGAAACACGAGACGTCTTAAAACTAATGCTAGCTGTTCACAGGAAAGCTTGTTATAAAAACACAAAAAACAATACACAAATACCTCGTAACACAAAAAAGAGCACAATTGATGATAGTGTCTCGAGCAGAAAAGAATGGAATAAACACCAATAAATATAAATTACTCTATAAAAATCATTATATAATAGTAAAGAGAAAGCCAACTGTAAAAAATATCCACTAATTTAGCAATTCTCTGCAACAAATCCAACAAAACTATCAATGTAGCTAATCAATTTAACGCTGGATTGTCCTTTGTTACTAAAGCAAGAAAACGTAACAAAAAAATTTATGGTCAACAAAATTCTCCACTTCTAATAACGTTTATTTTCATGACATTTCTTTGGTAACATTCGCTTGAGCGCGTCTTCGTGATGGAGGAACGTAAGCATTCGGATTCTTCGTCTGAAGCGGTTGTGAAGGAGGTACCGGATTTGGTGCTCCACCTGATGTAACCTGAAAATTTTGGCAATGTTTATAACCGTCTAATCAAACATGACATATTTCTTCCATATTTTATAGGAAAGAATTAAAATAATAAATAATTACTCACTTGCCTAACCGCTGAAAACAGAGCGGTACGATCAGCATTCGATGATGATACACTATTACCACCACCAGAACGTTGCCAGGTATTACTGGAAGTTCCCCTACTCATCCAAGCACCTGGTGAATCCCTGTCAGAAGTGACTACTGTAAAACCATCATTTCGTCTGAAATCAGAAAAAAATTCAATTCTTATCATACAAAAGCGAATCCAGAAGCAAAAATATCACCAAAAAGATTTACTAAGCTTGTCCAAAATTTGACAATGATAATAAAAAAAATAGTGTAAAAAATTCTAACGCAAAGCAACCTTTTCTTTTCATCATCCTTCTTTAATTTCTCAATTTTTTCCGCAGCTTCAAAAGTTGGAAATAAGTCTTGGTCATTAATATTTGGCACCGCGCCCGCTCTGGCAATATTTTGCATCAAACAACGAGGTTTCCAAACACCCGTCGTTTGTTTTTTAGGCACTGGTAGAATTATTTCTTCAGATTCTTTTTTCTGAAAAAACATTTGTAATTTTTTGTAATCTGACATACTTCTACGTTATTCCCATGCTCATAATAATTCTTTGTAAATAAATAGATTAAACAATCTCAAGGAATTACTATAGCAAACAGAATTAGCGTCGTTTATTCAACCCATATATTTGAATCACAGAGCCATTCTTTTTCAACAGTTATGGAACGCGGAACATGTTAACTTATTCATACATATATGAGGAAAGAAACCAATGGCAAAATGGAAGAGTCCTTCGCTAACTTTTCTTAAATTAAATTTGAAAAAAAAAACCAAAAACTACTATTCGAAAACTGAAAACCTCCGCAATGCTCCAAGTTTTCGGGGCTTCATTTGTAGCGACTTTCTCGTCTTCCAGAGCTTCTTCAGTCTGCTCAGTTAGATTCATATCACGAATTCCAAGTTCTTCAAGCGCAATTTCTCTACAAAGATTTTAAAGAAAAACATGAATAACCGTCCATGAAAAAAACTATGTGCTTACCTTATAATTACAAAGAGCAAATTCAAATATCTCTCACAATTTCTGAGACAAGAATGACCAAATACTTCTCCAGAAAAAAAGATACAAATGAAAGAAAAAGTACTAAAAGATAAGCTTATTTCAATCAAAATAACTATTTCAAACTCGCAGTACACTGTTCAAAAAAGACTTGGGTAAAAATTGCCAAAATTCAAAAAGGAATAAAACGAAATAGAAAGGAACGAACTTGTTCGTGTCTTTGTATTCAAGCCATTCAGAATCTTCGGGTCGTTTATCAAAAAAAGCAGCATCATCGTGGGCACGTCGTTCTTCTTCCTCATCTTCACGATCGCGTTCTTCCTAGCAATATGATTATATTGCGGATAGACAACAAATAACTGATAAGATATTCCGTTACAAAACATTAATTTTTTCTTTTCGCTCTTAGGGTACAAATTTCTCGAATCATGAAGAAACCCTTCTACCATTCTTATGTTCAATATCCATTTTAAAATATAGTAAAAACTAACCTGCCGTTTTGCTTTTCTTTCTAGTACCTGACCAACCTCATCGACACTCAGTTTCACTTTTTTCTTCTTATCTTTTACTTTAGCAGACTTTTTGGCAAAAAACTGCAACAGATCGTCATCCATCTGTAAATTTTATACAAGTGATATTATCAGTGTTTACCCACAGCTGTTTTTATTAAGCACATACACACATACACTGTAAACAACTTTATCAGATCACTCTCTTCAAATTTCCATTATTCCAGCCTTCAGTTATGTTATTATCTGCAAAGGTTATCTGGAATATTTGGCAGTGTTAGCGACATGACCTGAAATATTGTATGCTATTTTCTATTTTCTACAATTTACCTAATAATAGTAGTATGCAAAAAGTTTTGCAACTTTGGCCAATCAGCATACGTATGAGTAGGTCAGAATCATACATAATGTCACATGGATTTACCGGATATGTTGCTCCCCTTCACTTTTCCATATCCAACACATCCACTGTTCTTGCTTTTGCTGTATCGTGTTTCAACGTTTACAGTCATTATCATTTCATAATGAAGAATGATTAATAATATGCAAATAAAGAAAGAAATTCTGAAATGTTATATTTTTAGTTTGCGAAAAAAATCACGTTACCTTATAATCGTCTATCGATCCGTACAATAAACTGTTTGATAAGTGTATAAAAATCCAAACTGTCGTTTAGGTTGTTGCGAATTTCACAAAGGAAATTATGAATCAACAACAAAAATACATCAGCGAAGTTGACTAAGGTCAATTTTGCACTCCAAATAACTGGCTATTGATAGACTGGCGACAACAGCAACAATTAACACAGGTGATCCGTATATTATGTCACCTATAACACTCAATTCTAAAAAATAAGTTATAGTACAACTGCATATATCCAGAAAGTTTCTGGGATAGTTCTTTATAAAGATTTAATACGGAATAAATTAGTCTAAAAAATCAGACGTGAGCAAACACTACGGATCTTATACTCTCTCAGTTATGTTGCTTTTTCTTGACTTTCTGGATATTACCAATATGCTAGTGATGATTTTTGCATATGCTAATTTCATTGTTGCAGCTAACACATTTACAAAAATATTTATCTCCACATGTAAAATATGCAGTCTTGAACAATAAAAATTAGAAGACAAAATTTTATCCAATTATATCTTTCAAGTTGTTTCATTTTAAACAATTGTAAAGCTAACATCTCCGTCTATCATACTTTATAAGCAATCAAGATAAGCGTGGAAATCCCTTTGGCATGAATCATTATGGCATCTGTTTTTGTTCCACAAAAAGAAGCTACTAAAAATTTTGTCCAGTAATTTTTGTAATCCAGATGCAATTTAAGTATCAGGGTTAAACCACAAAATGAATAATCAATAAATGGTAAATCGTAATGATTGCCCCTGTAAGAAATTTGAATCTCAGATTTGTAGCTTTAGCTTATAGTAAAAATTATGGGTGATTTTAAAGTAAATTCTACGATGAATCCAATTGGATTCCTTAACATTTTCACAACCTGAATCGACATCACACATATAGCATATGAATGACCGCAAGTAGAAACCATCAATTCCCCTTGTTTTTCTTCAAAAAATCGAAAAAAGATGATTGACTGATCGACTGTTTCGTTTAATAATGTTTCATCTTTTCACGCAACTATCCTACGAAACCTACCATCCCTTTCCGAAAATAATGATTCATCACAAAAATGTCCCCAGTATCTTTCAGCTAATCAAGGCGGATACATGATTTTGAAAGTTTGGTAATTCGTCTGATCAAATGTTATGCGATTTATCATTATCCTTCGCTGGTTTCCATCAGTTTTATCTATTCAATGCCCGTTGTTGTCCACAATTAATTTCTACCACTTACTGTTACTCATGTACTATCCCTTTATCTCTCTACTACTGCTTCCCATATAAGTCATGCAAATCTCACATACCGCACATACTCCATCTCTTTTTTCTTACTTACGTTACGTGAAAGTGTTAACAAAGCGCCTTCTCACTATCTCCTCAAACGACATAAATCCCAGGCTTACTCCGTGATATATGCAACTATCCAATATAATCACCTGTCATCTATTTATATATAGCTTAAATATTCCAGTCGAATCAATATACAGACGTGTAAGTCGTCATGAGGACACGTATGCTATCATATTCCGTGAATACAAGCAATACATGTTTGACCGCACAGCGTAATCCCATTCTACACTACTATGTTCACCGTAAGATTAATATTCATGTTATTAGACAAAAGTGAATCACCGGCAAAAGAAAAAGCCTTTCGGGAAATTTGTTCGAACTTACCAGAAACTTCGGCTCGGTATGATCACCGTATTATTGCACACTATCGCAAGTGACTTCACGGCGCGGATACTTTTGAAACGGTTTAATTGACGTCTAGCTGATAGATAGAAAGAGACGAAAGTCACGTAGCACTCGCAGATCATCCTCATGCGACACACACACGCCAACTACCGTATCCTCTGCCCAACGCGGCGCAACACTTTTGCGTAGGCGTAAAAGTTTTCGTTTCGAAACGAAACTTTGGTGCGATCCGCTCTATGTGCTTCAATTTCCTTATATAAATGAATGGAAAACTTTCGCTTCGAGACTTATGACATCTTCTTCAACTGTCTTCCATTGAAAATCTCTTTTGGCTCTTTTCCTTTTCTCTTAGTGCGAGAGTTTTGTTTTTCTGTGTTTTGTTGCTGCTTTCTCATCTTTGGTTTTGATTTCGATGTTAAATTTCTGTTCCTAATTCTTTATTGTTTTAATTTTTCCTTTTTTATTTGAGTCGTCAGCTTTGATTTAGTGATTCTTAAAAGATTTTGAATAGATTGAGCGATTTTCAAGTTTTATCTGAGCGCTTTCCTGTTTCTTTGAAGTCGTTGTGGATGCGTAATGTACCATCATTGAAATCTAATTTTTATCTCTCTTTTCAAGTCTCCAAGAATGTTATCAGTTGGTCGCATCGTTGGTGTAGGATGTCGAAGCTGCCAAACAGTATTGCGTGGTTTACTGAGCCCGGAAAGTAGCATGTGTGAAAGTCGAGCAAATTTTAAGGTTTTTTTTCTCAACTTTTAAATTTAACATAGATAAATTTTGTGCTTTACAGAGAATGAAAAACTTGTAGACTTGTACTGTGATGTTAGCAATATATTTATATATCTACAAACTAACTTATCGGATGAAGTAATCACTTGAAGAAATGATATTCGTTGAAAAATTAGCTGAAGATATAGTATTTTTTGACTTGAATTTCATTTAGATTTGACATGTTCATTGCTTGGTTACCTAAACCCTAAGATATTATAGTATTGAACTTTAAACTATATAAGTGATCTCAATTTATTAGCAACACTTATGTTTTAGGTCCGGCGGCAGCTGAAACTTCGATGTTTGTACTGCTACTTTATTCAAGTAGATGGTCGCTGGGAAGTTCGGTGCACAGAGTATCCAAAACATCACCAAAAAGAACCATTTAATGTGAAATTGTTGTGGTGAATTGTCAAAAATGTACCGAAATCAGTGAAATGTTTATACATTATAATAATGTTTATACAATATAATAATGTATGAACTGCTCACATTCTCTTAAACTGTGTGCATGTTTTAAAAATGTTGTAAATTATATGTTGTAGCTATTTTGATGTAATCTTCGAGTACTCGAAATCAGGATTTAATTTTCTTGTAATAAAATTGCATATAAAACTCTTTCGCTTATTTTCTTGATATAACGGCCATTCTACCTGATGACATACCAATGCGAGTTGAAACGGATATATTCAGGTATTCATGAGTTCGGGTGAATTATATTCCAGATAACTTTGGATCAAATAGTTTGAAAAACTTAACGATGTGTCACATCAGGTCTTGACAAGATGAGTTCCACAGAGGTTGATGCATGCGTCGAAATTTTGGAAGATCATTTTGGTCCAATAGCAGCTGCTGTTGGGAGTGTGTTGTTGAGCGAAGCCGTATCCTTATCTGCTATATTCCAAAGATTACGTAACCAATTCAAAATTTCCGAGGTTAGTCCTTGTGAAGTTATGGTATATGGTTCCTTTTTAGACCAGTACTATATTTTTCGAGTCATAAGTTGTTCTGGAGACTATACTCGTAGATTAGGTTTTTCAGTATGATACGAGAGGGCTAGTTTTGGTTTTAATGACACATATTCTGTAGGTCCCAGAAATTTGAAGTCATTTTAAATGAGACAAATTCATCGAAAAATACTGGATCTTATTAGCTTAGTACCACTGGAGTATTCGAGAGTGATCTAAACATTGGGTTCTATATGTATGAAAGATTTTCTATGATCATTAAATCAGAGAATGAAAAAATGATAGATCAGTTATGAACTTACTTGGGAATTGGTAAATCAGTTATTTGTTTATGTTCAATTATTCTTCAGTATTTGTTCATGAAAATTGCATTCTACAAATTATGCTTTATTTAAATAAATACGTTTTATTATAGACGCTTCTAAAATTAAAATAGGCTTATCGAGAAATGGAAAACTATTATACAAATAATCTCAATGACTTTTTTAAATAAAAAAGTTTTCGAGTGAATTTATATAATTTAAAGAGCATAAAGTGATTGCAGATAAGACGAGCAATGATAATTTTGGAACAGCATGGAATTTTACGATTTTCTCAAGATGAACGTCATCGCATAACTTATTCTGCACAAGTTCCTGACATTCTACGTCTAATACGATCAGCTAGGTGCTCATTTGTTGCCAAAATGTTATACGGTGAAATAGCGGAAACAATATGCGAAGAAATCATCAGTCAGGGACGTCTGACGTGCTCATCATGTATCAGACGGGTTGCTGCTAGGTTGGAAGTGTCGAATAATGAAGTATAGTTTCGATTTTTCGATTTCGAATTTGTAACACATTATCACTAGTATTAAGATAAAGAATGAATTTAAATCTTATTCCGATATGTTCGGTATAAAGTATTTCAAAAGAGAAGATACACTGTAATGAATATCAGGGCATTTGGGGTATATTTGTGATGTCATATTTTGTTGACAACATATAAAATACTCCGTAGAAATTGAAAGTTCAGAAATTATGAGATGAAGTCAATTTTTTTCTTTAATATTATTCGTAATTGTGACCAGTTAAAATTCTAAGAACCTTACAAGATAAAAAGAAAATTTAAATATGCACAATGAGTTTGATTTATATTTTTTAACCCTTCAGTCTTACAGCTCAATAGATCACTCGGTCAGAGATATTATTGATATATGTTATTGGCTTGCTAAAATACAATATTTCAAACGCTATTATTTCTGCGAAACATGTGTTGATGGTTTCGTTTAGATGAATAATTCAGTTTTTTCTAATTTTTGATCATTTCCAGGTAAAAACAGTCTTTGTTCGGTTTGCTGAAGCACAATTTATTATGCGATATCCCAGGATTGACAGTAACTTTTATGGATGTCCTATTTTTGAGAAGCATTCGGATCCATTTCTTGTGCCGGATGTGGTTTTGGATGCCAGAAAGCAAGAAACTAGTAAGTTTTCTAGATAATTAATTGATACATAAAACATTCTACTTTTATTTAAACTTTTTCCAAATTGTTGAAAATCTTCGTTCTGTATCTGTTAAATTAGAACATTTGGTGGAAACTCATTATCAAAAATTCAAAATAGAATTCACGTAAATCATTTTGCAGTTGATAATAAATCACGGAAGCGGAAAAATCTGAGCAACGAAACCGAAGATCCGGATAGTGGTATTTATTGGCATTTGAATTATCTGCGTTTTGAGCGATATTTACGTGATGAAATTGTTGTTAATGCGTATGAATCTGGTGATGCTGTCCACGAAAATTGCGTCAAAACTTTGAAAATTTTGCTGAAGATTAGTGAAATGAAGGCTGACTCGTTAGCTGCAGCTTCTTTCCCTATATCTGTAAGTTATAAATGACGCAAAAGTTTTTGGAAGGAAGAAGAATGGAAATATTTCTGGTTACATAAACATATGGATATTAAGTAAAATTCGTGTTTCCTTTGTGGATGTTATCTAGTCATTCACTACAGCGCGGTTCATCATGATATGGACTACAGTCGACGTAGGCAAGCGACAATCTTCAACCGTCAAAAAAAGACTGCCACTAGTGATCACTTATTTTAATTGTTCTCTTTGTTTTACCGAGCCTTATTGCCTTTGATCCAGTTTGCTCCGCAACGTTGTGTTCGTTTGAGTTTTTTTGTATGCTTCTGCAGCATAGCAAAATTTAAAATAAATTCAGAAAAATAACATTTTTTCAGATTCATGACGTTATACGAGCTGCAAATGTGAGTGAATTGAGTTTAGAAAAACATGACATTGAAGTAGCATTACGTTTATTATGTGAAAGCGGTGGAATTGTACGAAAAGTTGGGGACAGCGCCGGTGGTCTTTTTGTTGTTGGTAAGTCGACGATAGTTATCTTCATCATCCATCTAAGGCCATAAGTTCCCCATTCATTTGCAGCTTTTTACTGATTTTAAACCCAGAAGGATTTATTCTTCTTCTGGAACTAGTCTTATCGTACAAATTCTTTTTTAAATTGATCACTGTAATACCGCAAATTTGTTTCTAAACAAATCGCTGTAATATCGTTATAGACTTTGAAAAAGCAATAGCTACGCACTGCCAACGTCTTGTTGAGTCAGCCATTCGAGAAAGATTAGATAGTCGAGCTGTTCGCGTTTTCCGACTTCTCATGCAAAAAGGTTTTTTAGAAGAAGATCATGTAAGTTTCGTAACTGATTATGACAGTTTTACTAGAAATTAGTGAAATGGAAGCAAATTCATCAGCTGCAAGTTTCTTTTTCATATCGGAAAATACTGCCATATATTTGCCAAATGGGATAAATTCCAAATATACCTGTAGACTGCATAATTATGAAGAAGCAAAGGGTTCAATAGACTTAAAATCGTAGATTTCATATGGACTTATCAACATTGTCCAGTAATAAGAATTGTTTGCTTTAATGATGATGCCGTTTCATGTTAGATATGATCGAGCTTCAATTTTCCGATTGCAATAGGATGATGCTTACCATATGCATAAGTGTTTAGAGTTGTACAGAGAAATTACTACCAGTTGCACTTTTGCTTTATTTGCATTTCATCTTGCAGCGAAACTATTCTGAAGATATAGCTGATTATAAGCTTCACTTGAAAGATTTATAACATTCTCCATTTAACCTCATTCACCTGCTGCTTAGTTCATCAACAAAACAGTTATTTAAGCTTCAATTATTGCAGGTTGAAAAATTAGCGATGTTATCATCAACAGAAGCACGTAAGCTTTGTTATCAATTATTGGAGAATGAATTTGTTTTAATGAAAGTATGTATTCGATTTGGATTTTTTTTCAGTTAGAAATTGTTTTACAAAAGAAATCTACGATTAAATTAGTTAAGGAAATTCTTAGTTTTCTATGGATTCAAATATTTTAAATATTCTTTAGTTTTAATTTTTTATCACCATATAATGAAGGATGTCACAATACATTTAAACACAAACATAATATACTTATAGTAAATAGAAATGATTAGAGGCATTTTCATCAAATGATTGCTAATGCGAGCATGATATAAAGGAGTTAGGATTTTCATGTAAATGGAAATGCTAAGCAAAATGATAAGCACATGTAAATACATGGAATTTATATACGTATGCTTATTATTCGCAGTATGAAATTCCAGTTATTTACTATGACATTCTGCCAGTTCTTAATCTCTACATATAAATTTAAAAAAAGAAAAACTTGAGAGGAATTTCTGCGATTAAATAAGCTTTTTTGCTGCTCTTTGATATTTGCTTTCTTTGGGTAATACTGAATCATTTTTATCGAGTTTTAGTGCATTGAGACCTCTATTTGATCTCTATTTTTTAAAGTTCTGTTAAATGCATGAACAATTGCCTTATTTTTGCAGCACGTAGCCAAAACGAATGATTTTGCACCTGCACGGACGATTTATCTTTATTACGTCGATTTAACTGTGGTGACACATAATTTATATTTATTTACTTGTAAGGTACATTTTTTTTGAAATCACAAATATCTGCTTTTTTGATCACTTTTTTACATTCGTTAAGGATAAGTAGACTTTATCTTGCCGTTCAGATCTCGAAAGTTCTGATTTTGTATCAGATTGCTATCGATTTTATTTAAAAAAGAGGCTTCGCTAATCCGTATCATACAAAAGACTTGTTTGTAAATCAGAATTATGAAATCTTTGCAGGTATTGAGAAATATAATTATACGAAGGCGTCATGAAACTAAAGAACACAAGTATGTTTATAGATTTCTCTTATGCCTTTAATTGTTGACTTGTTGCCATAGATTTTCTAAATGAATTTCAATTCATTTTTTAATTGAACTTTTTTGCATAGCAACTGCTATTGTAGATTTACTAATAGTGTAATGAAGATATATGAAATGGGAACTTATTTAAATATGAAGAAAAAAGGGAAAAAGTGTACTTAAGAAGAATAGTTTCGGAGTACAATTTGATTGCAAGACAGAGAATTTAGCAAAAGTTTTATCTCCAACGAATTGGAGTGGTATTCACATAACTAAGAAATCCAAATTTACATTCAAATCCATAAAACTTCTTTCTTTGAATTGTGTGTATTACACTGACTTTTGTCTTTTTTCTTTCTAGCTTATTCCATTTTGATGATGAGTTAGTAAAGTATTTTCGAGTACCAAACAGAAAAATGTTTGTTTTCATTGCATAATTTGCTTTTTTAACTTCAAATTACCAATTTTTTTCTTTAAATTTTCAGTGTGTAGAATTGAAGAAGGCTCCTCATTTACTAATGTATCGTTTTAACTGCAGCATAGCTTAAAATCTATTTAATTTTAAGTTCTTCATTTCTTTACATATCCGTCTTCCGTTAATTTTTTCCGTTCTCTTCTGTTACCAATAAAAACGACCTGAAGAAGAAAGTGGAAACTTTGTTATTAGTGTATAATTTCCAGGATTTTAATAGATCGAAATTTGAAAATGGAAACTATTATAGCAAATATTGAACTGGATGAAAACCTTGATAAAGAAACGAAAAAACAACAGGTCTACCTTTTGAGTTTTATCAGTTTTCTTTTTTGAAGAATCGTAGAAATATTTGCAGCAATTGATTATTGGTGAGGATTAAAAACGTTATGAACGTTTATGCTTCTTTTAGATTAGTGAAGTGGAAGAAATGTATTTGACACCAGGTGATCGCTCCACTTTAGAAAGGTATCGTAAGGGTCAAACTACACTGATATGTACTGAAATTGAGATTGATCGTGATATACTGTTGTATACACTGTTTTTGAATTTTGCTAGGCGAAGAGTTTGACAATATATAAACACTATTTTCTTTGTTATTTTACTGATTGATCTCTGTTAGAGGAATTTTCAACATAATAATGTGAAAAATATCAAAAAATTAAGGAAGTGCTATGTTCCTTATTACAATTTTTGTTCTTATTTCTATTATTTGCCTCTCTTTCCTAATTTTATCTTGGTCAAGGAGGGATTGTTCGGAGATAGCGAACGCTTCTATGGCCGGAAATCCATCACATCGATGTTAATGGAAATGTTCAAAAAAATTTGTTGTGAATTTTTGCACCAGTGAAATTTGCAATTATAACAAAACATTTTTGATCGTAATCGGAAATCTTCACGGATTATCTTTCACCTCTCATTCCCATCATTGTTTGTTTTTAGTGTGCCGCCTAATACACATTGCGCAATGTTTCCGATGTTTTTTTTTTTTCTAAAAGGATCATTATTACGTGATTTGTGTAACAATAATAGTTGAAAGGGTTCGAGAGCTCAATTGATTATTATCGTAGTAATGCAACAACGCGTTAATCTACCCAAACGAATACTGTGATACGATAGAGTATACTTTGTGATAAAATTTATTGTTATTATTAAAAAACCTTAATTGTATAAGCAACTTTTCAAACTAGTATTATCCTAGATATTTAAGATAATATCAAAAAATTATGTAGACATATGTTTACTTAATTTATAAATAAATGTGTGACCTGAAGTGAAAAGGAAAATGTGGGACGTATGGAAACTGAAGTATGGAAATTACTGCTACTCGATCAATTAGGAGGACAGAGTGATGTGATTTACAACGTTTTACTGCTTGCCGATACATTTGAAATTTGAACTACCAATAGTGTTGTAAACAAATAACTTACGATGACATTTTTTGCCAACAGATATATGTATGAAATGATGCATGCAAGCTAAACTAATTTAATTTAGTGTTGTGGTATGTTGAATCATTTATGTGTGATATGTTGAATCATTCAGTGTGTGCTATTTTTAAGTATCGTTGGGTGGTACTTTTTGAAATTTGAACTGGTGAAGAGAAATCGTGGTAGATATTCTGAAATTCATTCATAACATATGTCATATGCACACAAACGAAATATCGTTATAATGTTAAGTTGTTTCAAATTATATGTTAGCATTCAAGCTAGTACGGAACAAAACCATAAAGGATGATTACTATTCTTAGATATTTCAATCGATGTATATATTGGTTTTGGGAGTTAATCTCACTAATTAGAGAAAAAAATTCGTGACGTATTGTTCGTTACTTCTGGCTTATTATCCTTAATTATTTCCAAGATCAAGGAGAGAGAAAATTGGAAGATTTGAAATTTCTGCAAATATTTCACTTTTAAATATTATTGTATAAAGTAAGGAGAAAAAAATTGCTGGAAAAATATGGGAAATTGTTGATTTTTCTTTCTTTTAATAAATAACAATAGGGGAACAGAAAAAGAAGCAAATGTAAGATGGTTGAAAAGCAATAAAAATTGTTTATTGGTCTCGAAAATAACCGAAGAGAACAGAAACAATAAGAGGGAAAAGGAGGACGGTAAATGGGAGTGATAATAGTAGTAGTAGTTGTTGTTGTTGTAAATTGTATAATATTAAGGAATGATGAAGCCATAAACTCAGCAACAGGTGAGGTAAAAAGATAAGGGAAAGAAACGGTGAATGATAGAAAAAGTAAGTGTTAAGAAGGAACGAAAGTAAAAAGTAATGAGGAGAAGAAGAAGTGTAAATAAAAAGTGGCGCAATTGGTGTAAGGTTAAGGTTTATTGGCCAGAAGGCTTATCATTAATGAATTATTGGTTGTACAATGCAAAAGAATTGTTTGTATTGATTACTGTTCAAATTTATGAACTAATACTGTTTAGCAGCTTTTTACACATATTTTGTCCTCATTATTATAAGCTTTAGGTGCGCTTTAGTTATCATTAATTTTATCTTCTTTTTTCAATTTAAATTATTCCTATCCTTTCAGCAAAGTATGCTTTAATTACTAACATTTACACTCTCTTTTTTTGCATTTCAATCATTTCATTCTGCTATTAATTATTTATTTCGTTAAAAAAATTCCACATTTCAAAGTGAGAAAATTTATCTTAAAATTTCTTTCTTTTGGAAATGTATAAAAATGTGTTTAATGTGAAATATGTAATGAAAAAAACATTGATAATTTCCAAATATCGTTTCGATAGAACACGAAAAGATCGATGAACCAATCACTTTAACTGTTGCAATCTTCATAATTTATCATTTGAAAATGAAGTGGCTATGGAAAAATATAAAAGGAAAAAAAATGAGCAAAAATAAATGAAAATAAACAAAAATAAATAAAAATAGATAGAAGAAAAAGGGAAATACTTTAGCAATTGAAAATATCATCTTTTAGTTTTATGTTTTTTTATTTTGAATAAAGTTCCGATTAACGACGAAAATAGAAAAAAAAATGAATAACAAAAAATAGAATTTTTAAAGCATTGAATGAAATATTTTTTTGGTTGCAAATTTACATCAAATCCACTTAAAATATTACCTGAATTTTTTTTATAATAAAGTATTTCATAACGATGTCAATGGCTCGTACGTTTGTACAATTATTATTGCATACTGTAAATGTATGACATACACGTCATTGTTCTTGCATAACACTTAATTAATTTCATTTAAATTTTGAACAAACATAACTTATTCTAACAATACTAATAAAGTCAAGTTTTTTTTTCATTATGCTATTTACGAACACATAAAATAACTTATAAAATTGGCGTATTCTGTTTAAATAAATTTTTCATAATATCGCAATAAAATTTTCAATATTAAAAAAGAAATTAACAGATAAAATTATTAGTAGGACTAAAGCTGTAATCATTATTTATCAATCGAATTTAATTTTGTAACTCTTATACTTGCTAAATTATTTGCAAAATTTATAGATTAGTTTTTTTTTTCAAGCCATTTTAAAATTTTGCTCATTTAATAAGAAAGATTTGGGAAAGAAGAGGAAGGATAAAATGGTTTTGCTCGCTTGTTGATGGGATTCAAATGATACCTGGTGGTAAAGTATGAGATTAAGTGGAAACAATATGTTTAATGTACATATGCGGAACATTGTATCAGCATCCTTTGATCTAACCGCTCACCTATCTTTTCAACGCATACCTGACATCAATAATAGAATGGGCGACAAATAATGACAACATTATCAAATCTACTCATTCATCTTCACTTCACAGATCTTTGGCATACTGTAATTTGAGGTCGACTGAAAAGAAATTAATTGGATGGGTGGATGTTTTTTTGAATGAATAAATAAAGTAAATAATGAAATTGGAACTCAAATTTTGAATTTGATCATTTATTTGTAGTATGCGTCGGAGTAATGGATAATTCCAATTTAATTTTCAAGTTCGAACTTTCAGAACTTTTTCACTATGAACTAAAATAATCGTTAGAAAACATATTATTATGAGTTAATTTTATAAAAATTTATACTTCTTCAAAAAAGTACTGTAAAAAATTATGATTATTATGCGTAAAGAATATTTCAGGAGTATATACAGTTACGAGAATATTGATCATTATAATGTAAATTTTCGATTATGTGTTATGTATTTTGCAGAAAAGAAAAGACATTACGGATATGAGCAAACTTAAACATTTCCATTTATGGATAAAATCTCACAAATTACAATATATAGTACTAAAATACTCAAAACAATGATAGTAATTATAATATTTGCGTTGCAAATAATAAGCATTCATTTAGTATTATTGTAAATAGCTGTATTATACAGAGACTGTAATGAAATTATTTATCGGTGTCAAGTGAAATAGCTTGGGGAAAAACTTTGAAATTTATTTAAATGAATTCTAAATTAAAATTATCCTGAGCAAAATTATAATATTTGAAAAATCATACAGATTATGTAGTTAAATGCAAGAGAAAAATGCAATTATCAATATTTGCTTTATTAACTGATATTTCATAAAAATTTTAACTTAACATCCCTATCAATATTCGTGAATGTTTGTACATGGTTAAGTATTCACTTAATAATGTGCAGAATTTTCACTTTAAGTTTACCGATATTTTGATATTATTCTATTTTAAACTAAAATTTTGGAATTTTCTTTACTTTTCTCCCCATCCTTTTTTTATTTTCCTATATTTAACATTAATTTGATTAAATTGATCACACTTAATCAGAAAAATTAATTAATAATAATTACATTAAAACCGCAGTGATAAATGACCATTAATAAATGGTAGCACAGAATAAAGGTGAAAATAGTGATGGAAGTGTTGCCAATATTCTACTCTTTATCAATACGATATGTCAACTTATGGAATGACATCTTTATTGATACCCTAATTTGATTACAATCTGCGGCATCCTTTGATCTGTTTCAAATCAGAGTATATCGGTTCAAATTCATCATCCCTTATACTTTTTACCTTTCCTTTCTCTTTCTCTCCTTCACTCTCTTTCCCCTAATACGCGCCTCTTTCTATTTTCATTTTTCATCACCTAATAAAGGCTACTATGTCAACTCGATATTTACGATCATTGGCAGATCACACAATGACCATTGCTTTTAAGTTTCTTGGCTACTTCATCTCATGTCCGGTAGCTCAAGCTTCCTTCTCTATCTTAAATTTTATTTTGTAGAAAATTTTCTTTTCACAAACTTTTTCTTTTCAAGCATGAAATGAAATGCGAAAAAAGATTTTCTCAGTCAATTCTTTGATTTTAATTTTCGTTTTAATAAAGCCTATAATGCGTTTAAGTAGGTTATTTTCCATTTTTAACTTCTTAAGAGTAATTAATATTTCTGATAGTACTATTTCAGATTAGACGATGAATAATGATCCAGAAGAGACTTGGCCAACATAAATCTGAATTTTATGTACGCTTAGATTTTCTTTCTTCACTTTTTTGCCTTAAGTAAAATTAGATAGATTGCTAAAATTCCATACAATACATATTCATTGCAAAA